GAACAAAGAGTACTGCACAGTAATTTTCCACAACTTCACTGGACAGCAAAAACTGGTTGCCGATTAGACAACTCGTGAATACTCTTTCCCATCTTAGGGTTTTCTTTAGAGATACGGGCAGTCCATGTTTTGATCTCTCTATAGTCAAACCAGGAAAATGTCAACACCAGAAATATATCTGGAATATCATTGTGTTGCAAGAAAAAAGCCAATCAGGGGTGAGAAAATAAATTGCAAGAAAGAACATTAATTAGTTTGTGGTTTTGTGGCTAGTTTGCCTGTCCAGATCTTTACTGCGATTGGTCATAACACAAGAAACATTCCTGAAATATTTCAAGTGTTCCCTTGTTTCACTGTAACAATTGGCTGAGCAAAACAAATGACAAACACTTATGGAATAACGATTTTTCAAGGGAAAAATTGCCCTGTTGAGTTGCAAATTAACCAGTGTTTATATACATGTATATATTACAACTGAGGGGGACTTGAGATGAGGAATTACCTTGCTGGGTATATACTTGGGCCATTTCAGGAAACCTCATGTCATAGCAAATTCCAATTCCAATTTTACACAGAGCTATTGAAAACGAAAAGAATTAAGCAATTCATGGAAATTAAAAAAGAGAGTAGAAACACACACAGTGAAAACATAATAAATTCAAAGAGCATAATTAAAGAAAATTGTTTGTTTACAAGTGTCTATCATTGTTAATTGACTGCCAGGAGACAGGACCTCTGATTCTTGAAAGCGGATTTTTCCTGGGACATCGATATCAAACAGATGTACCTGTGAAACAGAATTACATCTTGGTTTGTCATCTCATCTCATTTCTAACATTGACCTTCTGCTAAAATCTTTATGTCTGCTACTAAAAATTTTATTATACACTGGACTAGTAACCAGAAGGTCATAGGTTTGACTCCTTTTGTGAGTACTTAAAATGTTTCTCGTGAAAAACAGTATTGCAGGTCATTTTGTTCTGTATAAGGAAACTGCGGTTGTCCACAACAATGGGAGTTTATATCTGTCAAACAACTGTAATTTACTTTTGCCTGGGTCTTAGCTGATCTCCTCATTATTGGGCTGTCCATCATAGCAGGGTGTCCGCAAGGCCAGAGTTGACTGTATAGTTACATGCCAGAGTCTTGGTTTAGTCATTGATACCCCTAAGAAGTATTTTTATTTATATAATATATATACAGATAATGTAAGACAGTTAATTGAAGTCAATCCGGTCAAAATAAGCCAGCGAACCAAACAAATAATTATAAATAATAATTAATTATAAATAATGAATAATAATTATTATTGAGGCCTTTGCTGCCTATTTTCTGTGGTTGTCCAGCCTACTTTTGCAAACAATTTTGACTGGCCTGTGAAGTTCAGGGTGCCACTGATCAACCACCTCCTCATTTAGTCTAGAATAAATGTATCACAAGAACAAGTGTCATATGATACCTACTTTTCTATGTTTGGCAAGCATTGCTCCATCAGGACCAAAAGAAGTAGAGGTGTTATACAGCTTCCCAGAATCTCTCTCAGGAATAGATCCTCCTATAACATAGCACTGTGTCTCCTTAGCAACAGATGACAGCATATTTGTAGATTCCCCAGGGATTTCTTCAGCATAGTCCGCAAAATACTGTGTGCCGTATGGGGAATTAAAACATTCCTGAAAGTTGTTTTGAGGTGCAAATTAACAACTTTGACACTGAAATGGGGTTGATTTTTTCCCCATAATCCCTAGCCTGTGAATACAGATGCTTTCTCCCCACCCAGAAGAATTAACTGGAAATAAAACTGCATTCGCAGGCTACATAATCCCCGATTTGTCTAGATCAAGCTTAGGTGCAAAACTATGGTCCTCTTGTTGTTTTAACACGCAACCAGCAACAGCCACGGGATTATTATTTTTAACGTTTTTGTCTGGCACTGGGTCACAAATTTCAGCAGGGAGGATAGGAAGGGGGGGTTGACTGGGAGGGGATGATTTAAGTAGGGGGTGGGGATCGGGTGGGGTGGTCTCCTACACAACACCGTCTCTTCTTGTTTGGTCTTGTGAAGGCGCCTGCACAGTTAAATAATAGGGTAGCAGGCCTCAGAATGCAAGCAAATGAGCTGAAAATTGTCAAACCGAATCCTCACCGGCAATGCTACAACTTTTGCTCCATTAGACACTGCTTCTTTGATTTTCTCCTTTGCACGCAACACGTTCTGAGACTTGTTTGAAGAAACAGCGAGCTGGATAAGCGCAATACGAAAGGCTGTAATGTTAGAAATCAAAGTTATTTATTGTAAATAACAAATACCTTTTCTGCATTTGAGGTAAAAACAGAAGTTTTAACAATAAAATTAAGTTCAAGAGACAACCGTCAGGACCACCACCCTCCCCCCGTGAGAAAAGTACTTGAAAATTTTTCCTGACTATCAGCAGTCCTACAACCTTCAATAATTTCATTTTTGTTGCATACCCCTTCGCAAAAATTCGTCAAATGGGGTAGGGGGGTGTATACGGAATATGTATAGCCTCAATGATCGAACAATGGATCTACACTTTAATTAACCTGATCAATAAACTCAAGAAAATTTTCTCCAGTTATATCAGGGGCACCCAACGAGGATATAGTTCAAAACCACTTAACATAGCATTGTTGAACGTATTTTAGTATTCAAACGGTAAATATAGGCATATTTTTATCCCCTAATAACTTTTCATCTGTTCGGATTTCCTAGCTGAAAGTCTAGTGATCCGAAAATTATAGGGATAAAAACATACCTTCTCGAAAATTTTTGCCAGGAAAAGGCTCTCGAAAATTCTAGGTGGCCTTTTTTAGGGTCAAAATTGGTTAAAAATGGGTAATTATACCATTTTGTAGATGTTCGAAAATCCTAGGAGAGGCAGGCAAGCAAGAAATTTTACAACAAATGCTCCGAAAATTCTAGATCTCAAATCGTCTTCCGAACAGATATTTTCCCGAAAATTGCCGTTGGGTGCCCCTGTTGTATGCTTGCACTACATTATTTACTGACACATATTCTGTAAACTGACAAACAAACAATCAATTATGAGCAGAGTTAGAGTCAGGAAACGCATGCATAAATTATAATTTACAAGGTTGTAAATACTAAAAACTAAATAAAATTACAGCAATACTGTATTTTAAAAACTTACTTGAGGCCGCCATGTTTAAAAACGGAGAAAGAGTGGCAACAAGTTTTCTTAGACCTTATCCATATTTGGTAAACGAGCCACGTGATATGTGTGTCTGTGTTGTGTCTGTGTGATCTGCGCGCGAAAATTTGCTTTGCGAAATGCAACATGGCGGACCAAAGGTGAACACGTTCTGAGATGTTCTGAGAGAAATAATCTTTGTTGTTCGTTTTGCGATCATGACTCCATTTGTAGAAGGGTGGGATTTTGTAGAAACACTCGGTGAAGGTGCTTATGGCGAGTGAGTTCTTTAGATCTTTAATCTGTTATTTGCCCTTCTTGAAGAAATGATGGCGCGTGTATCTCCATGATGTCAAATCAAATTACTCGTCTTCGTGTCTTTAGGGTGAAGTTGGCTGTGAACAGAGACACCCAAGAAGCGATTGCTGTGAAGATCATTGATTTAGAGAAAGCTGCTGAGAAAGATTGTTATGATAATGTTAGAAAAGAGGTTAGTGATATGATATATTTAAATGATAATCTCCCTTTATTGAATTCGAACTTCGAAATTGACGCAGATCGAGCCCAGATCGAGGCTTTTGTGTCTTTCATTAGAGCTTTAAACATGCGCCATTGTTCTAAGGTAATGAGTTAAATCAATACATCTCAACAGACAATTTTTATTGTTTGTTAAACTTAGATTTGCATTCATCGTATGCTTCAAGATGTACATGTCATTCGATTTTACGGCCAAAGAACAGAGGGCAAGAAACAGTACTTGTTTCTGGAGTGCGCAAGCGGTGGAGAGCTATTCGACAGGATAGGTAAGGAAATTCTGATACTCACTAACACATTTTGTATTCGTTAGGATCGTTTGTGGCAACGAGATCGTAAAGCTGGCTGCTAACAAACCAGGATATTTAAAGTTCAAAACATTAAGAATCCGATCAGTGTAAACGAGATTAAGCTTAGGCCCGGTTCAGACGCTGCTCCACTAGCCTGTTCCAGGCTATCAGATAGTGGGAAAGACGTGAAAATAAAAGGCACGCGAAAAGTTGGTGGGGCGAAAAAGAGGAAAGGAAGGGAGAGAGAGCCTGTAATCATTTCTTCTACGACCCTTTTCTGCCCACTTTTGGCACGTTTGAGATAATTAGATTCCTGCTGTCAAACTGTTGAAATGTCAATGAGCTGGAATCTTTCTCAAATTTCTCGCGAGATTATTTTGCGCGGTGCTAATCCCTTATGCAAGCGTGAGCAAGTTGGAGTGTAAAAAGCAGGTAGGTAGGCAAAACACTACTTTTACCTCGAGCCAAAACTCTGCTTGTTCCAATGGATATTTTCTCTTACAAGTAAATTATGCTCTGGAGGGGTCTACATTTTGACTGAACAAACTATGTTGCCACTTGTTTCATGCTGCAAGGTCATGACACGCATATTGATTTTCTGCAGTAATTGTTTCTGGTCGGTATGATTGATGATTTGCCCTCTGGTGCAAGAGCATTTTCTTTGACCTCTTTTGAAACGCCAAGTTCTTCATTGCGGATAAATAAGGGTTTAAGGTTGTTTTAATTTTCTCTAAAGTCCCTCCTTGATCTGAATAACTGAAAGCGATTTTCTTTTGTCCGAGATTGTGATGGTTTCCTTCAATGAGTTTTATCACGCTGGGCCCAGCTCGTTAGTGTTTTTGCAGGATCTTAACTTCTCACGGTTAGTGATTCACAGATCCAAATTTCGAAGAATGGTGTACCAAACTTGTGGGATACATTCTAAACTCATGTACTCACAAATTATACTTGACAAATCCTTGTTTTTATTCTCCTCGTGGTTTTCCAACGCATCTCTTATATTGTTCTATCTCACACACACAAAAAACCTATTGTCTCCTCTCAAACGTAACCGGTTGCATACTTGTGATCCCAGCCTAAACGTGCTTACGCAACTTCCGTTCAGACTCCCCTAAAACTCCCCTAAAACTAAAAGTGTCACTTAATTTTTACCGAAACAGTGTTCAAACTTAAGTGACTAATTGAACTAGAACTAGTTCAGTCATCGTCATCATCCGCAGTGATCAGTCATATTTTCTCCTTTGCGGTCTCAGCAGCTTGTCCTCTAATCCTAAAATGCTCTGTCTCTTGACTTCCAGGTGTCAGCTGCAAGGGTGCGTCCTCAGTTGCAACCGGCCCTTTAATCTCCAGTGGGCAGACCAAACTTAGTGGTCTCTCAATGTGATGGCCCTTGTGCAGCAAAATTACTCCTCTGATGTCCCCATCTCTCCCTCGAACATGATGCATTACTCTTCCTTTCTTCCACTTCGCTCGGTTTTTCTCATCGCCAACGACTAGCACGATTTCTCCAATGCCCGGTACTGGACCGGTCTTCCTGTTGACTCGATGGCTCTCCAACAAACTGTGTATGTATTCGTGCTTCCATCTTTTCCATGCATGCTGTTTGGCTTCCTTCAGTCGCTTGTGAAGTTTGCTCACTTTGTCTCTGTCTTCTTCTGTCTCCTCTGTCTGGTGTGCATTCTGCCCCCACATCAGCACATTCGGGGTCAATACTTGTTCCTCCCCTCCCCTGCTTTCGAGGTATGTCAAAGAGCGGTTGTTCATTTGCCTCTCTATGTTGACTATCACCGTCTCGAGCTGTTCGAAGCTTAGGGTTGTCCTAAGTAACGTCTTGTAAACAGTCTTCTTTAGGTCTTTGATAACCCGCTTATACATTCCACCCCACCATAGGGATCTGGAAAGGCTGAATTGCCATCTGATGTCTTCTCTCGCAGGATGGTCTTGTAGCCTCTTGCTCTTCCGTATTTTCTTTATCCAGCTTGCAGTAGCCTTGAATATTGAGGTGTTGTCTGAAATAATAATACGAGGTCTGGTCTTCCTGGCAATGAACAAGTTCAGCTTTCTCTGAAACTCCTCTGCCTTCTGTGATTTCATGACTTCCAGGTGTACTGCTCTTGAGGTGGCGCAAGTGAAGATCAAGACGTAACATTTGCCTTGCTCCTTCTTGGTGACTTTGTAGTCAAGTGGACCAGCAAAATCTACTCCAGTTGTTTCGAACGGTCGCCCCTCCTCCGCCCGAAACCTCGGCATTGCAGCTGACGTTGTGGATCCATAGAACTTTGTGCTGAATACTTTGCAAGTGTTACACCGATCGATCACCTTTTTGACCTTGGACCTCAGCCTTGGAATCCACCACTCGTTCCGTATGTTTGCCATTGTGTTTGCAACTCCCAGGTGCGTTATCTGCTCATGCGTATGAGCGATAAGTTTCTCGCCAAACAGTCCCCCTTCGATGTAAATGGGGTTGTAACCGGAAATCCTTCCACTACACCTCAGGATGCTGGTGTTGTCCTTGACCAGCTCCCAGCCTGGTGTTTGTAAATTTGGAGAGGTACTGCTTTGGACCTTCTTGATCCAACGTGTCTTTGCGTTTCCCATCTCCTCCGGTGTCAACAGCCCTGTCAGCTTTGTTGCTCTCTCTCGTCTCACCAAGGAATTGTTCAGGAACCTCAGTGCCCAGGCCGTTACTCGCAGAGTCTTCCGATACTTGTGTCTCTCTAACAGTGCCTCCCACTCGTCGAGCTTGTGCTCTTTAGCGTAGAGGTTTTCTTCCTTGATAGGTTTGTGTTTTTATTGTTGACGTCCTTGGTGCATTCAAAATCTGGCTGATCCGGCCACTGCTTCTCGTCTAATAACCATTCAGGACCTGTAAACCACCCTCCGGTCTCCATCTTGTGAATTCCAGCTCCTCTGCTTCCCAGGTCTGCCAAATTCTTCTCTGTTGGACAATACTTCCAGCTGATCCCTGTCTCACCGGTAATTTCCGCCATCTTCTTGACTCGGTTTGATACGAAAACTTTCCAAGGTTTTCCCGGATTTCTGATCCAATACAGGGCGACCATACTGTCCATCCACACGGTTGTAGAAACGATGGGCCATCGTTTAAGTGCGTTGTGCAGGTTTCTGACCATGTTCGCTGCCATCTGTCCGCTCACCAACTCTAGTCTCGCTATGGATGTGTTTCGTTTTGAGACTCTTGATTTTGATGTCAGTAGACCTTTGACCACTCCTGTCTTACCTTCGACCACAGCTATGGTTACTGCGGAAAATGCAATGTTGCTAGCATCTGCAAACACGTGAAGATGTACGGCTTGTATCCAACCTACTCCTCTCGTTACACTTCTTGGAATTCTCACAGGTTTTAGTTGACTAGACCATTTGATCCAATCTCTCTTCAGCTGGTCTGAAACGTCAACGTTCCACCCCTTTGTCTCATTGCATGCGTCTCTGTAGATCTGCTTCCCCTTCACAGTTGTAGGTGAAATTATCCCTAGGGGGTTGTAAATACTTGCAAGGTGGCTCAGTATTCCTCTCTTTGTCAACAGCTGGTTATCAGAAGGCTCTGGTACTTGGACCTCCAGCGTGTCATCTCTTTTGTCCCATGTTATCCTGAGGATCTTGCTAGGGTTTGTTGAATCTTCACTTTCCAGGGTCTCAATGTCTGATTCCCATTTATGGACGGGAAACCTTTCACTCTCCAGGATGCTGGTTGCTTCTATTTTGAATTTTTTCAGTTCCTGCTCTTCTTCCCCGGTCTTCATTACATTGTCCACGTGTGTGTTCTCCTTCAAGGCCTGGATGGTTTCTTGAAAGTCTTCGCCTTGCTGATCGTAATGGTAGTTTAGGGTAGCACCTAACAGAATGGACTTGCCTCTCCCCCAAATGGGACTCTGATGAACCTCAGGTGTTGTTCTTTACCATTAATTTTATGTTAAACAGGAACCGCAATATGTCCCTCTCCTCTTCTCTGACACCAATCTGCCAGAACGCCTTCTGGATATCCGCTAGAACAAGATGGGTGGACATGCATGCTCTGATCAAGATGTCCCACAGTAAGGGCTGAAGTGGCAGACCCGTGTACATACATTCGTTTATGCTGTTGGCCAGTAGGTGTGGTTTCGCGCTAGCGTCAAAAACCATTCTCACTTTGGTCGTACTCGCGCTCTCCCTAATGACCGGTTTGTGTGGCATGTAGAAAGTGTGGTCTCCGGTTAGTATTTTGGGTGCAACCTCCACTATTCCTTTTGGCTCAGCTTCTTCTCAACCCTGATTAGGCGTCTCCTGCTTGGCTGTTCGTTCGTACTAGGCAGGGAACTACTTGGAATCCAAGGCACGTTCACTTCGTACCGGCTGTCTACTCCCCTTTTGACGCTGTCCTTGAAACTACTGAGCATGTCTGACTGCTTGATCATCTTCTCCTCTATCCTCTACCCCCAACACGTCTAAGCTGTAAAGCCTCTCGTAGTCACTCGCCTCTTTGACGTACATACACTAATTTGTTTGTGTACTCCGCGCCTCCATGGATGACCCATCCAAACGTTGTGCCCTCTACTATTGGGTCCTCAGGGTGCCCCTTGAATGTTGGATCGGTCCTTATTTTGCAGTAGGTCCTGTCACCCAAGATCACGTGAATAGGATACTCTTCACTTGCTGTCACGTAAAACTGTTTGTCTCGGGCATGTTCGTATCTTGTCTTTAACTCCTTAACAGTCGGTTGTGAAATCCGCCATCTTACTCCCAGTGATTTCTACCCGCTCACTCGTTCTATGATCTAAAGAATCAAGTCTCACTTCAAATATGGGCAGGGACTGTTTCTGGACACTATTGATAGTGACGAATAATTGGTGTGACTCATGGTGCGTAGGCTTCAAATTTAGCTTCTCGATTGCTTTTCTTGATATGAAATTCCTCCCCGAGCCTGTATCCAAGTAAGCCCACAAGGTGATTCCTTGAATCTTCAGCAGAATGATGGCTGGTAATAATCGATCTTCTGAGCCGGGGTTATATGCTGTGAACACCGTGCTGTCAATCGGTCCGTTCACCAAATGTCTGTCACACGGGCTTGTGTGGTGTCTTGACTTACACTTGAAACAAGAGCGACTTCGGCAGTGACACGCCCCTTGACCCTCACGTCCACAGTTGTAACACAGTCTCCTTTCAAGAAAGAAATTTCTTCTTTTTTCTATGGTATCGAAGACTCCACAGGCTTCCCCCCAGTGGTCACCTTGACAGTATAGGCAAGAAGAGGGTTTGGGTTCATGGCCGGCGTCCCTCTTTCCCCTTGTATATCAGTGCCATTCCCTTTTTTGTGAGTCCCTGCGTCAGTCGACGAGTCATCCACCTTGTTCCTTTTGAGCCACTTTTGCAGGTTTTCAATTAATTCCTTCATGCTCCCTTCCTCCCAGTGATTGTCAACTCTAACAAGATCGGGTTTAACTTGTGGTAATTTCTTCAGCATCGTCGTCATGAATCCTCTCAACATGTCAGCCTCCCCCAGGGTTTGCAAGGCGTCGTAATTTTTGCTTAGCACTTCATAGAACTCTCTTACTTTCTCGAAACTGTTCCCTTTTACTGGTGTCAAGTTTATGATTTCGTCCATGTGGGCATTCACAACAAGCTTAGTTTGCCCGTATTCCTTTTGTAATCTCTCGCACGCCGTTTTGTACCCCAAGGTGCCTGGTTTAAGGTTAGAAATTTTCTCCCTTACCTTGGGTGCCACCATCTCTAACAAGTAGCCAAATTTTTCTTCGTCTGGAACTGGCAGTTTTAGTTTGGTGAGGCAAAAGTGTTAAGTTTGACAGAGTCTGTGGAACTTTTTTTGAACTTAACTTAGCCTCAACACACGGCCTGAATCAGGTGTCGCCCCAGTGGTGCTCCAAAGTTAAACTTATTCAATTAGGTTCGACATATGAAAAGTACAGTGTCTGAACTAGGCCTTGCAATGCATACCCTGGAAGTAGAAGACCTTCGATCTTTCACGATAAGATTGAAGGGCCTTGGGAAAGATACGTTGCAAACAGGCTCGTAAAGCAAAGTCATTCTTGCACAGAGGTTAAAAGTTGTAAACAGTCAATTACTTCCCTTAATGGCTACAGAAAATGCTGTAATTTTGTGGTGGCCATAAGGAGGTGGTTGTTTCACGACGCTTGAACCAGGATGGTCAGAAAGTTTTGAAGTAGATGGCTGAGTTGTCAAAGTAAGCAGCCATTTCAGAGATATTTTATTTAAAAATTGCCGTCCATAAAGAAATGCTAAGCAAAGTAGCTAGCCGATATTAACCAAGTAGGCGGCGATTCTCGCTGGCAGCCAGCTACTTTTGACAACCCTAAACCACTGGAGTTTTCTTTCTGGAAAAAGTCTTTACACATCAGCTTATTCACAGAAAAAGCATTATCGTAGTTGCATTGAAAGAGTCGCTAGGTTGTCTCTAAAACTCAGAGTAGCCTAGGTCACTCAGCAAACAAGCAAGTGAGACCATGTGTCAAGTGGTCGCTTAAAAGAGTGGAGTTTTTGGACAAAATCCTGTTGTGTTACCATTCAGATGAAACCTCTGGCAGTATTGTCTTTCAGAATCTTACAAAATGAGATTTGGAAATTTTGTAAAAAGAATTAATAATGTTGATTTTGGTCACTTTTGGGTTTGAAAGGGTGAATCAATTTCAGGGTCCTACCTGGGCTTCCTACCTTCTATTTTAATATGTCCCACATGATCAAATTCAGCAGTGGTTTTCTTTTGTGTAGAACCCGATGTTGGCATGCCACTACACCAGGCTCAGCGTTATTTCAAACAGCTCATTGATGGAGTGGTAGGCCAGTCATTGATACCTAATGTTTGATGTTACTGTTAGCAAGAGTGTTAATTCAAATATAAAACAAGGCTTAGCCAATTATTTAACCAGTTTATGCCATAGATCTTTCATCTTTGCACTTTCTAGGTTTTGCATTATTTTGACCTAGAAAGTTGGAAGTAAAATCCAGCCTTGTTTTTTAATATTGGGTGTCCCGCAGTCCCCAGTGTTTTGCATGGAGTGTGCTTTTGATTTCCTATCTTTTGGCGTCATGTTTGTAAGGGCCACTACAATGATTCTAGATTTGTTCTTGAAATCATGGTTTGTGGCCATGGCCAGACAGATCATTATAGGTCCCCAACTAATTTTTGTTTATGCAATATTGATGTTCATTGCCGTGAAATGTAGTTGTTACATGTACTCGGATTTAACACTTAAAGTTATAATAAAAGTGTTTCCTCAGAAAAACAATACTAATTGACCATGTTGACATCTCGAATCATTTTTCAGGAGTACCTCCACAAACAAGGTGTTACTCACAGAGACATTAAACCTGAAAACCTTCTCCTGGATGCTGATGGTGAGAGCCAAAAGTGGCTTATGCTATTGAAATATAAACTGAGACAGTGTCAGTAATCATGACCCCCTATAAAGGCCTAACGCCTTCATGCTGATCACTTACTTGTTACGGGAAACTATTTCCAGGGTTTTCAATAAGATTTTAAGTAGGTGGCAAAAGCTTTGGAGTTGGTGGAGAGGGAAAAAACTTGTGACAAAGGTGAAATTTGTGAGCGCCGAATGCCCTAGTTTCTGGAAAAATTGTGAAATCTGGGCCTCTTGACAGCACATGAATATTGTACCACTCAAAAGTAAGTTACCACCCTCTCGCGAATCGTGTCGCGCGCTACGCGATTCTCGTTGTTGGGGTAATTTCCAAAGAAAAGTAGGCGGTGAGTCAAATAGCTGGCAAATTTCGCCAGCCACTGGCTCTTATTGAAAACCCTGTATATGTTGTTAGTAGTATAATTTTGTTTACTCAGAAATGTATTTTTTTGTAAATTTCTTTCTCAGACAATTTAAAGATCTCTGATTTTGGATTTGCTACAGTTTTCCGTCACAAAGGCAAGGAGCGGCCACTCGGTCGAAGGTGTTGTGGAACACCACCATATGTTGCACCTGAGGTATTGAAAAATCTAGTCACTCAGTCAAGGAGTCTTAAATTTCTCTGTCAATCAATTAACCCATGAATAAACATCCATCATCAGGGCTCGGAAAAAAAAATTGGAATAAGATCATGGATTCCAGCTTGTCCTTTGGGCAAGCAGTTCTCACATGTTGCTTGCCCTGGGTCACTTCTTGTTCATCTTACTCAATGATTTTGTTTAAGGATTACTTGCCTGGAAACCTTTGCCATTGGGCATTAGCAAGCTTTTAAACGTTACTTGCCCAGCAAGAACATCTACTTGTCCCAAACTACCAGACTGGATTTGGCTCAAGCCCTTTCATCGTTAGAATAAACACCTAACAAATAGACCTCTTTACCAATATGGCAGCCATGTTTAATTTATTAGATTTAAGGAGTATTATGGGATGCCCAGGGGGCACTCACTCAGTATTTACATGCATTTTTCGGGCGAAAAGAGAACTTCAATGTATATTTCTCAGGAAAAAGGCGATCATTTTTACATCCAAACACAGCACAACAATCTTTTTTTCCCACTACAATCTTTTTCTAGGAAAACTTTAAAAAAATATACTCAAAAAGTGTGCTTTAATACTGATGTGAGCATATTGGATCGTGCTTATTCCCCCTCAGTGGGCATCCCATAATATTCCTTAAATCCAATTAATTCAATGTGGCCACCATATTGGTAAAAAGGTCTATTCCCACAATAAATTATTGTGCTCCCAGGTTTTGTCTGATGGTGAGTACAGAGCTGAGCCCGCAGACATCTGGTCCTGTGGCATTGTCCTTATCGCTATGTTGGCAGGAGGTAGGTGACTTATTCCACCAGGTGCCCCACCTACGCTAAACATTTTTATATTAACCTAAAATAATGGTACATGTAGCTTACATTAACTAATTTGTCCACATGTTTTGAAACTGAATATGAATTTAACAGCTACCGTATTTATTCGAATAAGCGCCCAACCTTGAATTAGCGCCCACCTTGAATAAGCGCCTATCCTAGAGGCGGAAAAAGTTAATAAGCACCCAGCCTCGAATAAGTGCCCACCCCACCCCACACCCTCCCACAAAAACGCCAATGAGAGATAATAAGAGACCCTCCCAAAGACTGAGTTTTTTTCAGGGTATTGTACAGAAACCTTGCTTTGTTACATCTTTGCTTTTTGTTATTAGCATTTACTGTTTTGTTGCAAAATATAGTACTACGCTTGCTGAGAATAGTGAAAATTAGTGCCCAGCCTTGAATAAGTACCCACCTCAAATAAGTGTCCACTCTCAAGATCCAAAAATTTAATAAGTGCCCAGGGTGGTTAATTGAATAAATTAAATACGGTATCCTGATCAATTGTACATGTGTGTATAGTGCAGTTTTCAATTTTTAAAATGCCACATGTGATCAATGACAGTTATACATTAGTCTTGCTAGTGAAACCTTTAAATCTATACTTACTAGCACTTTGAAAATTTTGACACTTGTAAGCTTTGGCAAAATGAATCAAGTGTTTCGCAGTGTGTTGTGCTAGCACTAAAGCATTTTCCCAGAGTTAGCGACTGCTTTTTAAAGTTTTAAGTGACCAATAATCAATAGAACTTCCATGGGATCAACCAACTAAGAAGTACAAAGAATATGTTGACTGGACTTATGGAAGACTTCACAGAACACCATGGACAAAGATGGATCCACTATCATTAGGTGTGTTAAGTTTATTTTCAGTAATTTGTTATTATTGCTTTGCCCTAAAGTTAGACAATTAGAGTATATGTTGAGGGATCAAGGATTTTAAAAATATGCAACTGTATTCTGATAACATGGTCTCTGATCACATGACTGTTCTTATGGAGGGAGACAATATTAGTTTTTGCATCGTAGGAAAATTTGTGAAATTCTAATCCCTGGTAAACTGGTCTGCGTTATTGGCTTCGCTGGTGTTTTTGATGGTGAGCATGCATGTGCTCAAACAAGCAGCTGCAGCTTATTCACATGTACTTGCCGACAGCTATGTTTATGATACAGTACTGACTGCAAATCGCTTCTTTGCGTCTTGTTACACTGCATTTCCTTGAAAAACAACTGTCCTTTGTCTACCAATTGCCTCCCCCATCCCTTTAAAGGTGATATTACATAGGACAATTCACAATGACAAGTTTTGGCGCAACACAGCGTTGCAATGCTGGAACAATGTTGTAACCATTCAAAACAATATTGCAACCTTGTGTTGTGCTAAAAATGGTCATTGTGCATGGTCTCATGTAACATCCCCTTAAAACAAGTTTATTGCCTACTTCCAATATTCACAATTTACTTTACCCCCTCCCCTCCCTTAAATAGTGAACTCCATGGACCTCCCCCCCTTCCTTTTACTCCCTTATCAAATACATGTATCATGGTTCTTGTATTAAACCTTTTCCACCTATTTGAGGTGTTTACAGCTGTATGTACTTGTAATTTTTTAAAGGATTTTTGGAGAAAATTCTTGTGGAAAATCCCAAAAGAAGGCTCAACATACCTCTTATGAAGAAAGAAAAATGGTATACTAGGTAAAAAAAGAATACCTTGTCTTTCTTTAATTTGGATTTCTATTGAATTTTTATAACTCGTTTAGTTAACAGTTGCATATTTTTTTTAACCTTTGTTTATTGTTTTGACATCAGATCATTCACTTTGGCAAGAAGTCCAAGGGAAGGTAAGTGTTGTTACACCTACATATAAACACTTGTATGCTATTAATACTTTAAAGAAGAATAGTGATTAACAATTTTTGTTTTTCAACAACACCAAAGTCAACTGCACTCTTAATAATATCATTTTGTTTATTGTTGAAAACATTTTGATTATACACAGGTTGTTCCCCAGGGGACACACCCACTGGAACAGCACCCTTCAAAAGAAGATGCACTGAGGCAGACGTCATTTCTCCTAAGCGTTCAAGAAGAAATCAGTAAGTTTCAACTACATGTATATGTGTAAATGTTCTAGTTCAAAATGAAGTTCCAGTTAAAAAGTTTTCACTGTAGTTTGATTCTCT